CTCGACAAAGGCTCCTTTTTCGGCCACAATTCAAAGCCACTTTTCTTCAAATTCTCCAAAATTATCACTTCCATGTCATCACTGATAAACGAACCGTAACATTTCGGGTACGAAACGAAGGGTTTTTCACAGTTGTGGTCGTTTTGGAATTGGAGAAAAGTCGGGTGGACTTTTTCATACATGAAAATTTCATTCAAAAAGGCATTTTTCACCGGGGATTTTTCACGAAGGGTTTTGGAGCGTTTGCTGCACTTGGCGACGAGATTGTAGTGTTTTTCCCCGGCGATTTCAAGGAAAATTATGTCGCCCAAATAACCGTCACCCTTTTCCGAATTTCCCAGGATTTTCACGGAAAAATCGGACACATTTTCCTTTCGCAAGGCTGGAGTCAGCCACGATTTTATCTCAGCTTCAACCATTTTACTGACAAACAATTTTTGAAACGCGTTATTTATACAATTATCAAGGAGAATTTTAATGATAACACACCAAATATCACAACTCATGGTCAATTAAATGTAATTTTGCAGATTACCAGATTTAGTTAATGTTTGTTTTGATTTTCCATCAAAAAAATAAWTAAGCAACTCATCTTACTTYACAATTTTTAATAAATGGAAAAAWTGTGTTTTTATCTAATCTAGMCTAGTAATCCATATTTGGCGGCATTTTTCACGAGGTACCCAATCCGGTTCCTGTACCCCTTTTTATCCCTAATTTCAGAGAGAAAAATTTCAGCTTTTTCAGCATAAACCATCGTTGCCTTTACAAGTCCATACTTAGCACAAGTTTTCCAATCGGCTGAAAACCGCTCTAGTGGGTACAATTTTTCAGCATCCAACCCGAAATCTTTCAGGTGATTTGAGAACGCCAGACGATAAACGTTCAAAATGTCGTCCAAGTGCTGAAAATCCTCTTCTGAAATACAACTGAAGAGGAAATACGACAAATCTGAAACTGGTGTCGCAAATGTGGCGTTTTGCCAATCAATAAACGCGACTTTTTCAGGAACATTTCTTCGCTCACCCTGAAAAAAACTCTTAATTGTATTTAATTACTAAATGACGCAAATTACGTAATATTTGTACATAAAATTGCAATTCCCATGYCACACAACTRGAAATCTTTCCTCACTTGTAATTTCAGGGATTTTTTCAGCCAAGTTTGTGAATTTCCTTCTTGTAGTTTCATCCACTTCACCTCTGAGTAACTCTCCRGAATTTTGCACAATTCTCGTCATTGGTGTGAAATTCTCCTTCAYCGTKGTTACAAGCGCTTGAAACTTTTCAGGTTTGAAGATTTTCAGCGCTACTGAAGTTGCGTGAAGTTTTCCATACTCGCAAATCACAAATTCGATATGTTGGCGATTCAGGGGTTTTTTCAGTGGCCACATTTCGTACCCCAATTTCTTCAAATCTTCAAGAACGATCACGTGGACTGTTTCATTCTTGTAACTGCCGTAGAATTTGGCCACACTGTTGAAGATTTCCCCCAAATTTTTTTCTTTTTGGAAGTTGATGAAAGTTGGTAGGAGTGTTTCGTAGAGGAACGTTTCATGTTTCAGACTTTGGTGTTTTTTTAACGCTAGATTGTAGTCTTGGTGGGGGGTTGAGAGGTGCACGAAAATTATTTCACCACTTTTGTCCGAATTTTCCACAATTTTTACGGAGAAATTTGATAAATTTTGGGTTTTTAAGGCTGTTGCAAGCCATAATTTGACTTCACTTTCAACTTTGGGCAACATTTTTGGAGATAAAAGGACGAGGAGTGAAATTTTGTATTGTTTTGTTCAAGTTCATTGGAAAAAAACGCAACTTTTGCTTATCAGTCAATGACTAGGGTAAGTCCGGGAGAGATGGAACACTTTTCAGTTCAAACCACGAAGCATGAGCTTTAATTGTAAAAAAAAGAGATGAAAAAAATTAAATTCCCTAAATTTCAGTTTAGTTATTTTGTAAAACACGCGTCGTAACAGAATTTTGAGTTTTGAATAAATGTTCCAAAACTTGGAAATTATAAAAAAGAATTGCAAAAATTGAAAAAAATTTAAAATGTTATGATTCCTGGAAAAAATTTCTATTTAGAAAATTTGAACTTGTAAATTGAGAAGATATAAAGATGAAGAAACAGAATGATATAAAAATTGTATTAAAAATAGAGATGAATACAATAAAAAAAAATTCCAAACAGGACTGAAATATTAAAACCATGGAAGATAAAACACTAAATAAGAGTTAAAACACATAAATTAAAAAAGAGAAAGACTGGAAAACTAAAAAGTGCTCATGAAATTGATGTTTTTTGTACTTTCAGAGATAAAAAGATATTTGTTTAAAAAGTGTAAAAAAGAAGTTTGAAAAGTGAAAGATTAAACTGTCAATTTAAGAGAAGGTTAAAAATAACGTAACTGTAACGTAATAAAAATCAAATGACAAGATTGTTACGTTACGCATCTCTAAACATACCTTTAGCCTAATAGTTGTTTACAGTAATGTGATGTGAATTAAGCCCCTTTCACAGTCTACAGATATATACCCGCCGGTAAACGTAGAAAATTAGTTAATAACGTTTGATCTTATGCTAAATAAAGCCAGTTTACACTTTCGTAACGTAACTGTATAGAAAATAATAATTAGCACCTCATTATATTTTGTGTATAAAATAAATAAAACAATTTATCTTAAGGAAAACTTTATTTTTAATTTCTTTATTTTCTTACGTTGAGTGTGTGTAAACATACCTTAACTCTACAATTTTACACATCAACGTTACGCAAACCTATGAATTACACTCTAACCCATCGGTGGACATAAAAAATACTTAAAGATTTATACATTTTTAAGTATCACATAAACAGACCCTTAGTTGCGTATTATATTTTGAAAAATACTATTCCAAAATCAAATTTGACGTAACATAACGTAAGAATCAAATTTTCTTTTTTTTTCAATGTGATTTTACACAACTTAACGCGGCGTAACGTAGCGTAAATATGACAATAAAGCCGCGCTTACATTTTATTCATTATTAAGTATCGCATAAATATATCTTTAGTTACGTAAAAAATACTATTCGATAATCAAAAAAATACGTAACGCAACGTTAACAAATGATAAATGAGTGTTTTCTTAACGTAGCGCAAATTAAAATTAAGTGAAGGTTGTGAATTAGACTTTACCAAGAAGCAGCGTAACCGCATCGTTAAAAAAATAAACAATTAGTGATTTCTTAACATAACGCAAAGCTACACAACTCCAAATTTGGAAGTTAGGAAGAAAGAAGGACAAAAATAAAGATAAATGTAAAGACTGAAAAACATAAAAAGAACTAAATATGGAAAAGAAAACGAATTAAAAATTGAAACATTTTTTGATGTAAAGTTTTTTAGAAATTTAGTTTGTTGGAGTTTGTTGAGTTCTAAGCTTCAAAGTCCAACTCTCCCGACTTTACCTTACATAATTTTATTATGATTTATAACTTTATTCTGAACTTAACAATAGAGTTAAACAAATTATTTACTTAAAAGTACGAAAATATTTTTTTAAGGAAATTTTTTTGATATAATCCTGTGTTTTATTTATTAAACATTTTTTAAACACAATTTCTTATCTAATGAAGTTGGTTTAGTCAGGTTTGGAAAAAAACACTCAACAATTATTATCAAAAATTTTATTACTACTTTGTTTTTTTGTTTTTTAAATCAAATCATTCTTGACAACAAACTCTATAATCGACTTTATTCGATTTTTAAAATTGTCCTTATCTTTAATATCGGTCATGAAACCATCAGCAAAACTTTTCCCTTTGTCGGCATTTTCCCCAATATCGATAACCTCGTCTTTATCAGTCGAGACAATTTTCATCAAAAGTGCGCTCATCAGAATTCCAAATTTGCAAAATCTCTTCCAATCTTCGAGAAATTCACTTTTTGGGTACAAAAATTCCGGTTCACTAATCCCTAAACTCTTCAAATGTCTGGTAAAAGAGTCAAAATAAGTGTRCAAAARATCGTCCAAATTTTCTAAATCCTTCTCTGAAACGCAAGCAAAYAGAAAATAAGACAAATCCAAAATTGGTGTTGTGTATCTRGCGYTTTGCCAATCYAMAATTGCGACTTTCAACGGCCGATTGTGGTCACCATCCTTGAATTAAAATTAATTAGAATTAATTAACTAATTAACAAGACTTACTTCAAACAAGTACATGAAATTATTAMTCCAACAATCMCCATGCYAAATCACTTTCAYTCCCTCAAAKCCMTCMTSTAAATTCTTRAAAATAAAACKAACARTYTTTTGGAAWTTCCTCCARTTTTGGAGAATTTTCTCATCAARTTCTCCCRTGAGCAAATTYTASGAYTCTTSYATTGGTGCTYKGAACAWWTCRWCCARRGATTCKTRRTCKCKAAACTCCTTGAAAACATCGATAACGGTTTCAGRCAATTCCTGYAATTTTTCAGGCTGTTTTTCCCTCATMGCCACTGAAATRGCGTGGTATTTCCCATACTCTGTGACCACCAAATCGACCAATTTCCTCGACAAAGGCTCCTTTTTCGGCCACAATTCAAAGCCACTTTTCTTCAAATTCTCCAAAATTATCACTTCCATGTCATCACTGATAAACGAACCGTAACATTTCGGGTACGAAACGAAGGGTTTTTCACAGTTGTGGTCGTTTTGGAATTGGAGAAAAGTCGGCTGGACTTTTTCATACATGAAAATTTCGTGTAAAAAGGCGTTTTTCAGCTGGGATTGTTCACGAAGGGCTTTCGAGCGTTTGCTGCACTTCAGGACGAGGTTGTAGTTTTTTTCAGGTGTGTTCACTTCGATGAAAACTATGTCGCCCATGTAGCCGTCGCCTTTTTCCGAGTTTCCCTGTATTTTCACGGAAAAATTTGTCACATTTTCTTTTTTCAAGGCTGGAGACAGCCACGATTTTATCTCAGTTTCAAGCGCGACGTTTGCCATTTTTGAGACACTTTTAAATAATGGATTTTTCGCACGAGTTTTATACGATTTTTGATAATCTTATCATTGAGAAGAAAGTTATTTGTAGATTATATAAATTGATTAGGATTACTTTGTTATGACTTTCAAAATAGAGATTATCAATAAAACAAAGAAATTAATAATTTTGGGTACATAATAAGAATTATTATTATTATTATATTATTTCTAGTCCTTTTAGAAATTGGTGGATTTTTGTTGGGTTTTTTAAATTTTGTCTCTAAAAATAAGTTATTAGTAAATATTAGTAAAAAAAGTATACGTACAATTGTTCCATAATATTTCACTCTCAGCCATTTTTAGATTTTTTTTGTTTTATTTTTTCTTCTTTTGTGCTTTTTATTTTTCAAAGATTTTATTTTACTAGGTCTCTCTAACTTCCCGTTTTTGCCTTAAAAGTAGAAAACGAAAAATCCTGATTATTCATCGCATTTTTTATAGCTCTATATTTTTTAGATTTTTGTGTTTTTTCAGTTTCCTCTTTCAAAATCTATTATTTCCCACTTTGCAATCTTCCAATCTTTAAATTTTGGGATTTTTCTTATTAAATGTTCTAAACGTTAAGACAATTTATGTCTTACTTAGTTTTTTTCTATATCCAAATTTTGAATCTTTGGTTTCAGTTCTACTTATTTTTAGAAAATTTTAGTCAAAAGGTCTGTGATTTTGTTTTTGCTTTAATTTAGTGTTTATAATTGTTTTTGCTTTCCATTTTTTTTAGTTTCAAGTCCAGAATTTTGAATTTCTTTTAATCTACTTTTGATTAGTTTTCATGTTTCAATTCCTAATTCTTCTATTATTACAATTTTACAAGTTTAAATCATATATTTTCTTATTTCCTTGAATTTTTTGAATAAATATTCTCATTCCATAATAATCATAGCAGGTAATTTTCAAGATATTTTTCATTTAGATTTGATTGCCTTATTTTTTCAACTTTTCATCTTTAATCTTTGTGCTTTCTATTTTACAAACTCTCATTTTCCTAGGTTCTTTTAATTTCTAGGTTTTTGTATTAAAAGTAGAATATGAAAAATCCCAATTACTCATCGTATTTTTTACAGCTCCTCGTTTTTATGATTTTTTAATATTTTCAGTTTCCTCTCTCAAAATCTATTAGATTCCCTTTTTGCAATCTGCCAATCTTTAGATTTTTCTCATTAAATGTTCTAAACGTTAAGACAATTTATGTTTGAGGCCTAAACCATTTAAGACTTTTTACTAGAAAATTATATTCTCTACAACATTCCTTCTTACATTTTTCTTGTATCTTCAACCGCATTTTGAAAAACATGAAACGGAGCACACATCTTAAATTAAAAAAAAAATTTTTCTCATATTTCTCGTGAAAAATTTAGTCGTACATTTTTCACAGCGCAAATCTCAACATCTCTGAATTTTTTTCCAAGCAATTTGTAAACTGGTTGAATTTAAATTAATTAAAAACGATTTGAAATACTCCGCCGGACTATTTTTATTTAAGGACCAACACACCTAAGTGTGCAATTTTTTGAGATTTTCATTTGCAGCGAAAACAAAGTATCTTTCAAGTTAAAGTCTTCTTTTTGTCGACAATTTTGACTTTGAATTGAATTATTGATCACTTATGTCAGATTTCAGATTTGTGTCATTAACTTAGCATCCTCCATTTTGTATTGTTTTAAAAATTTGGATTTCAGGGTTTTCAGTAAGAACTAGATTACGCAGAAGTTATTTATTTAACACTTAAGAAAAGCGTTTTTCATGAATTGAATAATTAGTAAAATGTCACCAATTTAGCATTCTTGATTTTGTATTGTTCTGAAACTGTTTAGATTTCAGGGTTTTCAGTGGAAATTTACAAAAAAAACGCAGATTATATACGTAATGTCGTTTTTGCAGAATCTAATGTAACACGAAAGAAAAACTGTGTTTTTTCATGAATCGAATAATTAACAAATTAAAATGTCATTAATTTAACATGTTCGATTTTATATTGTTCTGAGATTTTTAGGTTTCAGAATTTTCAGCGGGAAATTACAAAAACAAACACAAATTAAATAATTGTACTAAAACATCTGAGCTTTCAGCAAAAGATTAAAAAAAACTTATTTGACATTAAAAAATGCACTGAATAATCAGTAAAGTGCCATCAATTTAGCACATTGTTTGCTAACTTAACAATAACAAAACGGAAAATTTCGAATTTTAATCTTCAAAACAAAAAAAATCCTCGGTTTAATTCGTAATTTATTCTTATCTCGGCCATTATTTAAGGATTTGTCCCAGTTTTTTCCCCACTTTATGAAAAAATGCCAAGTCTAGTGGAAAGTGAAATTAAGCAGTGGCTCTCAACAGCCTTAAAACCGCGAAATTTATCCAATTTCTCCTTAAAACTCGTGGGAAATTCAGGCAAAGGCGACGGTTACGTCGGCGATATCACTTTTGTGCAACTTTCAACCCCCCACCAGGACTACCATCTAGTGTTAAAATGCAACAAACCGTGCAAAATTCAAGGACACAATGAAATAATCAAAACAATTTTCCTCCGCGAAATATTCTTCTACGAAACACTCCTACCAACTTTCATTAACTTCCAAAAAGAGAAAGATTTGGGGGAAATCTTCGACAGTGTGGCCAACTGTTACGGCAGTTACAAGAGCGAAACCACTCAGGTGATAGTTCTTGAAGATTTGAAGAAATTGGGGTACGAAATGTGGCCAGTGAAGAACCCCCTGAATCGGGCACATATCGAGTGTGTTGTGCGAGAGTATGGGAAATTTCATGCGACTTCAGTGGCCCTGAAAACGCTGAAACCTGAAAAGTTTCAAGAGATTCTAGCTTTGTTGAACCGCACATTGAGTGACATGTTTCAGACACCTGCAATGCAAAATATCGTCACGAAATCGCTACAAAAAGTGATTGAGTGGCTTGAGGGGCGAGTGGAGGAGAAAATCCTCACAAAATTAACACTTTTGAGGGAGCAAATCCCACAGTTGACTGTGGAATTTGAGGAAAAAGCGCCACTGAAAGTGGTGTGTCATGGCGGTTGCTGGAATAATAATTTCATGTACAAATATAACGTACGTTTTTTTGGTATTGTTTCAGTTATTTTCATTTTTTTTCAGGACAAAACTAATGTCCCCTCAAAAGTGATGATAATCGACTGGCAGGTGTCAACCTACGGGACACCAATCTCCGATTTGTCTTATTTCCTTTTCAGTTGTATTTCAGACCAAGATATTGGAAATATGGAAGATATTTTGCGTGTTTATCACCGATCGTTTTCAAATCACCTGAAAAAGTTTGGTTTGATTCCTGAAAATTTGTATCCACGTGAAGAGTTTTTAAAAGATTGGAACACTTGTGCCAAATATGGACTTGTAATGGCCCTCAGGAGTATAAGAACTTCTTTCGTTGAAAAAGATGAGATTATGGATGTGGGGGAGGCTCTCGAACAAGGAATTGACTTGGGTGATTATTTTACACGAGAAATTAGAAACATGGAAGGATATAAAAAAAGAATTGAATATCTTGTAAAATACGCTTACGACCATGGATTATTTTGAAAAATTAAGTAAAATAAGAGAAAATGTTTGAATTTTTGGTATTTTTTTATTAATCGCTCAAATTTTGGTTCTAAGACCGGTTTTAACACAATTTTAATTTTTGAAATCTCTTTATCTAACTTTTTCACCTCATACACAAAGTAACATTGAGTTTTTATCTCATTTTAAGTATTTGTAACGGATTGCAAAATTCAATAGTTTTTAATTTTTTATAAAAAAACGCATTATTCAAATTAGATGAACAAAAATACAGTAGCATAAGTAGGTAATCCACAATACACTAAAAATAAATCAAAAATTTTTTCCATACAGTTTTGTTATAAAAAAATAAAATAGCCAAAAATAGAGATTTTTTAAATTTATTTTTAAACTGCAGAACGATTTATTTTTTTATTCAGTATAGTTCAACCTTAAGCATTTATTTTGATGAAATTCATTGATTTTCGGCTTAAATTTGAGTCAAATCAACTGGAAATTGCACAAAGTGCTTCATTTTGGCCTAAAATTGGATTTTAAACAATTATTTTTATCAAATACTTTTCTTAACTAGAGAAAAATAGGCAAATTTCGTCTCTTAAAAAATACTTTTTAAATCGTAGTGATAATAATATTTTCAAAGCCATTTGTTTAAGCGATAAAAATTTTACTCCATTAAATTTGAGTGTTCCTCACATAAATCAAATAATTTATGATGAAAATTGAACTATTGAAACGATAAAAGAAAAATCTTTAAATGGCAGATTTTTTAAAGGAGTTGGGGATAATAATTTTATAGATAAAAAAGCTTCACATTTTTAGTTAACAAAAACCATATTTTTTCAGAGACTGAGTTTTTTATTTTTGTAATTTAAGATCAAGTAATTAAAAAACTTATAACACCAAAATACATGATCTTAACTAATGAAATTAAAAATTTATAAAATCTTGAAAAATTATTGATGCAATTGGAGTAATTCGAAAAAATTTCAAAGTAATTTTTAAAATTAAAGTCACATTAAAGTGTACAAGTTATGAAAATTATTTGCCAGATAATAATAATGAGTCATTGAATTGACTTGGGTGATTATTTTACCCAAGAAATTAGAAACATGGAAGGATATAAAAGAAGAATTGTATATCTTGTAAAATACGTTTACAACCATGGATTATTTTGAAAAATTAAGTAAAATAAGAGAAAACGTTTGAATTTTTAGTATTTTTTTATTAATCGCTGAAATTTTGGTTCTGAGACCGGTTTTAACACAATTTTAATTTTTGAAATCGCTAAATGATTTATATATCTAACTTTTTCACCTCATACACAAAGTAACATAGAGTTTTTATCTCATTTTGTGTATTTGTAACGGATTGGAAAAATTGAATAGTTTTTAATTTTTTATGAAAAAACGCATTATTTAAATTAGACGAAAAAAATACAGTAACATAAGTAGGTAATCTACAATACACCAAAAATAAATCAAAAATTTTTTCCATACAGTTTTGTTATAAAAAAATTAAATAGCCAAAAATAGAAATTTTTTAAATCTATTTTTAAACGGCAGAATTTTTAAGTAACGATTTATTTTTTTATTCAGTATAGTTCAACCTTAAGCATTTATTTTGAGCGAAATCGATTGGAAATTGCTTCATTTTGGCCTAAAATTGGATTAAAAAAAATTATTTTTATAAAATACTTTTCTTAATTAGAGAAAATTAGACAAAAATCTGAGTGATCCTCACATAAATCAAATAATTTATGATGAAAATTTAACTATTGAAACTATAAAAGAAAAATCTTTACATGGCAGATTTTTTAAAGAGTTGGATTATAATTTTATAGATAAAAAAGCTTCACATTTTTAGTTAACAAAAACCAATATTTTTCCAGAGACTGAGGGTTTTATTTTTGTAATTTAAGATCAAGTAATTAAAAAACTTATAACACCAAAATACATGACCTTAACTAATGAAATTAAAAAATTATAGAATCTTGAAAAATTATTTCTGCAAATTGAGTGGTTTTAAAATTAAAGTCACATTAAAGTGTACAAGTTATAAAAATTATTTGCCTGATAATAATGATAAGTCATAATAATAAGTTTATTGATCCAACAGAGTGTAAATTCCAATTACAGGATTACGATAAATAGAAAGGTACTTAAATAATCACTACTTACAAAAATTAAATAATACAAAGGAGAAATATTTCAAGCATTATTCAGGCGGTCTATGTAGTATGATCTTAATTTTATTGACAAAAAACATTGTCATATTGAATAAATCAATATGTTTGTGTAACAAATTTTAATTTGAACACAAAGAGTATACAGAAATTTTACTATTTTCACAATTTTTTTGGTTTAACACTAGAGATTTGTTTGTAAAAATGAGTAGCATTTTTTGTTCTAATCAATCTATGTAATCTACAACTCATTATCTTTTGAATGATAAGATTATCAAAACTCAACCAAAAAAGTCTATGATAGTGTTTGGAGTGCTATCAATTATCATTAAAATTGTCCTTGATGATAATGACATTGAGAGATGCTTAGATAATTGTATAAATAACTCGTTTAAAAATTGTGTGTCAGTACAATGGCAAACGTTGCGCTTGAAACTGAGATAAAATCGTGGCTGTCTCCAGCCTTGAAAAAAGAAAATGTGGCCGATTTTTCCGTGAAAATTGTGGGAAATTCGGAAAAAGGTGACGGCTACATGGGCGACATAGTTTTCATCGAAGTAAACACACCTGAAAAACAACACAATCTAGTCCTGAAATGTAGCAAACGCTCCAAAGCTCTTCGTGAAAAAGTTCCGGTGAAAAGTATTTTTTTGAATGAGAGTTTCGTGTATGAAAAACTCCAGCCGACTTTTCTCCAATTCCAAAACGACCACAACTGTGAAAAACCCTTCGTTTCGTACCCGAAATGTTACGGTTCGTTTATCAGTGATGACATGGAAGTGATAATTTTGGAGAATTTGAAGAAAAGTGGCTTTGAATTGTGGCCGAAAAAGGAGCCTTTGTCGAGGAAATTGGTCGATTTGGTGGTCACAGAGTATGGGAAATACCACGCAATTTCAGTGGCAATGAGGGAAAAACAGCCTGAAAAATTCCAGGAATTGGCTGAAACCGTTATCGATGTTTTTGAGGAGTTTTACAAAGTGGAATCGGTCGATGGATTGTACACAACAGCAATTGAGGATTCCTATAATTTGCTCAAAGGAGAAATCGATGACAAAATCCTCGAAAAGTGGAGGAATTTCCAAAACAATGTTGGTTTTATTTTGAAGAATTTAGACAAAGGGTTTGAGGGATTAAAAGTGATTTTGCATGGCGATTGTTGGAATAATAATTTCATGTACTTGTTTGAAGTAAGTCTTGTTAATTAGTTAATTAATTCTAATTAATTTTAATTCAAGGATGGTGACCACAATCGGCCGTTGAAAGTCGCAATTCTTGATTGGCAAATCGCAAGATACACAACACCAATTTTGGATTTGTCTTATTTTCTCTTTGCTTGCGTTTCAGAGAAGGATTTAGAAAATTTGGACGATATTTTGGACACTTATTTTGACTCTTTTACCAGACATTTGAAAAGTTTAGGGATCAGTGAACCGGAATTTTTGTACCCGAAAAGTGAATTTCTTAAAGATTGGAAGAGATTTTGCAAATATGGAATTATGATGAGCGCACTTTTGATGAAAATTGTCTCGACTGATAAAGACGAAGTTATCGATATTGGGGAAAACGCCGACAAAGGGAAAAGCATCACAGAATTTTTCCTAACTGAAATCAGAGATAAACGTAATTTTAAAAGGCGAATGAGACCGATTATAGAGTATGTTGTTAGAAACAATTTGATCTAATTGTTATCTAGCACCATTTTTATCTAAAAACCAAAATGTGATTAATGTCTCAGAGATAAAAATAAAGATAAAAAAAGTGTTATAAAAACTAAAAATGTTTTTTCTATTTTTATTACTATTAACATAATCTACAATTATTAATAAATCACAGTTAATTCAAAGTTTCACTCTTGTGAAACAATTTTCTTCATTTCTGATAAATGAAATTTCTGACTAATTTTCGAAAAAATCAATTTTTTAAAAAAATCTATCTATCTAAATTTTTCAGACTTCAAGGTTTTCAGGATTTACATTAACATAGCTWTTAAAAAAAAACAAATTGAAAAAGTTTGAAACCGGTCTTAAAACCAAAAATTTGAGCGATTAATAAAAAAATACCAAAAATTCAAACATTTTCTCTTATTTTACTTAATTTTTCAAAATAATCCAGGGTCGTAAGCGTATT